CTCAAGACAAAATGTCACAACAAAAGAATGTACTGCCCTAGGCTAAAATAACATTTGGAGGCTTTGTCAAACAACGCATCTTACTTTGAGTCTGAACTTTCTGAACTTTTGTCCTGGTTTGACTACGGACACATCACATGAACATGTAGCAGTGTTGAAATAGGTCTGACAAACAAATCAGATGTTTTGCTTTACCTGAGCTAGGTGCCCAACTTGCTGTGGGGAATCCAAGGTTAAGCTTAGATGAAGGATACTCCAATGGAAAAAAAAAGAGAAAGAAAAAAAACATCTACCGACAGAGGCAGACTTTCAGGATACCATCAAAAGAGAAAGATATCCTTTGATCCAGTGAGGTGAATGTGTGCATGGACTAACCAGAGACAGAAAACTGCCTGACTAAAGCAGAGGCGGCGCAGCAAGTGTGTAAGGAGAGTGTGTGTGAGCTGTGGTGCGCAGAGGGCCGGGCGTGTTTCAGCTGGTACCGGTACTCTCAGACACGAGGAGCAGTGGTTAAGCCTAGGGGGCTGAACCAGACACCAGGCGCTCTCCACACCTGGCTAAAGCCCTACCCCCCACCTCTGAACCCTCCTCCCTCTTTCTTCCCATTTATACGTTTAGTGTCTGCTCCTCTAACTTTCTGCCCTTCTGTCTCGCTGTATTCTTCATTCAAACCAATCCACTGAGCCCACAAACCTTCCTTTACTCCCTCCTCCACAAGCTCTTTTTGACTATGCGCTTCCTTTCTAACTTTTAAGCTTCCCTGCTTTGTTTCCCCATGCAGGAGCTAATTCCAGTGTGACTACTTTATAATTATTGTTGTTGCCTATTTTATACCCACTTTAACTGCATTTAGGACTTTCAAACCCAACAATTTCTCCCTTTACCCTCTCTGTTTCTACGTGGCACAGTCTGAGCACCGGGCGAAGGTAGTAGTTAAGTTGTTAGTGGAGGGCGGCGTGCACAGTTCAACTGCTGAACTTGTACATAATCACAGAGCACGGAGTGGAGAGAAACAGAAAAACATCTCTTTGCCTTTGCTCTTTTCTCCCACCTCTCTCTGTCCACCTCTTCTCTCTCATACTTTTATTTTCTAAATCATTTTTAACGTTATATGGAGTTTTTCAGCAGCCCTCTCCTATTAAGTATAGATATTCTTCCAATTGTTCCTCATGCTGAAAAAAACAGATAAATCCTCACAACTGTCCTTACAGCAGAGATGATATATAACCCAACTTTTTACAAGGCAAATTTACTAATGTGGCTTTTTTATATGACTTTCTTATTAGATTAGTTCAATGCATAATTGTGTATCGCATTTTTACAAGTTTAGAGACTCGCAAGAAACTGAGTAAAAGTCAGCAGAGGCCTACATTTCCTGAATTGTATTTCCTGAGTCAAGATTAAAAAACAAAGCCCCCTATGCAATTTGTTCTTTTCTTTAGACCTTTTAAACCTTTTTTCTAACATAGGTTTTTCTGGTTTAGGAATTCACATAATCAGGGGTTAATTTCTCAGATTTAATCTGACCTTCAGGGCCACCAAAGACACAAAACTGTTTTCAAAGTTAACTGACACAGATGTGTAAAATTGGTGAAGCTCATCTTTAAACCTTTAAAACTTCTAAATACAACATGGTAAGACTGTAACAAAACTGTTGTGAGTGAATTTATAGTATAAGAGTGTGTGTGTGTGTGTGTGTGTGTGTGTGTGTGTGTGTGTGTGTGTGTGTGTGTGTGTGTGTGTGTGTGTGTGTGTGTGTGTGTGTGTGTGTGAAACAGCTCTTCTTTAAACGTTCAAAGTAGAGTGGTGCTGCAGGTCTCAGCACAGGCCCTATCTTCTTACCACAGTTTGCCCATGGGGTGTTTTTAAATTGTGTGAGTAAGTCTGGGTGTGTTCACCTTCGGATTGAAAATTAAGTAGCCTGTAGGCGTGGATTTATTACAACACACAAGTACTTTTCTGAGTATAGAGGGCCATACATGCAGACTGACCCCATCTCTGTTTTGTTCACCTCAAGACCGGATTGGAAGAACAATATTATTGTTTGCCTTCGAGGGGTGGAGATAAACGGAGGGTTAGGGATAGGGTTACCCCAAGTGTACTTGAGGTCCCTGTGGACCCCTCTCTGCCACGCGACTCCAGAGTTCATAAGAAACAAATTACAAACAGGTCAGCCACCCGCTCAATCCTCCTCACCCAACACCCACAGCCTGCAGGCAGACGCTGAGATTACAGCAGCCAGAAACCACACCCTGACTAAACACACCTGCAACAAGATGACTGTTTCATTAAAACAATAATGAAATAACTTGCAGGCTATGTGCTGGTTTTTATGGCACAGTAGCTCCATTGCCCAAGGTGTACGTGTAGACCTACAGCACAAAGAAACATGTCATTGCCTGTTTAAAGACCTAAGTGACTGTAATAGGTTTTCGTTTGTGTGATTGAATCCTAGGGCTGCAACTAAGAATAATTTCAAACATGGATTGATTTGCTCATTAATCTGCCAATATTTTCTTGATTTATAGTATATAGTAAAATGTAATAAAACTGTAAAAATCTAATCAGACAACTCATCACTTTAATGGCAATCTAAAGAAAAGGGTTAACGTTTTGCCTAATTGTAGTAGGAAGAATTAAGTCTGGAAATTTAACACCAAAACAGAAATGATCAAAAAGAGCTTTAAAGGGGCTGATAAGGGGATTTGTTACATTCAGACAGACATAGCTGTTTCCAGTCTAAATGTTATGCTAAATCCTGGCTGCAGTACTGAGGCTGTACGACATCTGACTGGAGACCAGCTAAACCAGTCTCCAGGGTCTTAGAGGCCACTACAGAATAATATCTTTGAGCTTCCCTGTGTCCCGTCTGATGTCCCACTTCGAAAGCACTGATGCTTTTGAAGCTCTTGTGAAGCATGAATAACTGTCCCTCTGGACCCCAGCAGCATCCCAGACAGACAGACCCCTCCACACCAAACACACACATCATCATGCTGGTGGGTCCTGCCTGAGTGGATGTCTAAATATTTGACAAGCTTTTAAAAGCACCAGCCTCCTTTCCTCCAGGGTGTCTGCTAAATCCTGCAAATTTAAGAATTAAGAAACTCAGATGCCCTCTGACCTAGAAAGACACCGGGGATGACTTGTGTGAATGTTTCAGTACTGGACACTTGACTGCTTGTGTGCTCTTGTTAGCAGGTTAGCAGAGGGTCAATTCAAGCATGGTCCTCTTTTACCACATGTGTACGTTTAGAAATAGGACTTCAAAAGAACAAATCACTTTCATTGAGGGATTGTATTGATATGATCCATATCATGGGCATTCCTCTACAGACGTAACAACAGCACTTTAATGACAATAACATTGGGATTGTGCAGGATATGAGTTTGTGCCTGGGGTCTCTTCTGGTATATCTTCAGCTCAGGTGGGATTACACGGTTAATTCCAATTTCCTATCTACTGAGGGCCATCAAATCTAAGGCACGGTTCTTCTGAAAATAGGTTTTCCCTCGTAATCGGAGAGGCAGTTGGAAGCTGTGGCACTTTATCAGCATCAGGATCAGGCTATCTCTACTAAACACAGCAACCTACACTACCTGAACACACATGTGAGGTGGTAGTGTGGTGAAGAGCATGTGTGTGTGTGTGTGTGTGTGTTTGTGCTGCATGCGAGACAGAGGCTCTCTTTCAAGATATGCTTCTCCACCCAGGTCAATTATATCACAGCCCATTGCCTAGGGAAGGAGAGACGGAGAAAGAGCAGACTCTCCCCAGACTAAAGCCAGCCAGGAGGTGACCTTCTCGTTTAAGTCGGACAGCAGGTAATGAACATTGGCGCGCGCACACACACACACACACACACACACACACACACACACACACACACACACACACACACACACACACACACACACACACACACACACACACACACACACACACACACACACACACACACACACACACACACACACACACACACACACACACACACACACACACACACACACACACACACACACACACACACACAAAGATACCATCTACTATCCTTTCCTCTCTCTTTCCTTCCTCTCATCCCCCATTTCTCCCGCTGCATTCCTTACATGCCTCAGGGAGACGGGGGGGGCCTCCAGGACAGAAAAACAAAGACACACAACACACACAACACACTCACAATGGCACTGGCTGCAGCCATTGTCTGTGTGCACTGAAGAAAAGGTCTTGGTGCTTGAATACCAAATGCCCCACCACACCAATGCCCCTTTATCAAACACACATTTGCCCTCGCTTACTTTTACTTAGTGACACAAGAGCTTGTAGTTTGCACTGGATACTGTGACTGCTGTAAACAATTTTCTCCTGCTCCTCCCTAAACATTTTCAAAGCTACACCCTTTTTGGACCCACACACCAACAATAAACCATAAAACTCTGGCAGGGATTTTGATTTAAACTGAGCGATGTCATGAGATTGTAAATGAATCATAACAGCTTTTAGAGGTTGAGCTGCTGGTGTGGCATGAAAGGCCTGCAGCGGCTCTCTGCAGACCATCAATGCAACACTGACCTCTTCTGGTAGAAACACCACATAGCCACAACAAAGTACATCCAGATTTCTTTAAATTAGGTTAAACCAATACAAAACTGTAAGGTCAGAAACATACATTTGCTGTAGTGATTATCTGCCCAAAGTCATTAAATAATGCTTGCACTGTTGGACATATATTCTCTGAATCAGTGTACTTATGAGGGCCAGAGTTGATAGTATAGTTGAAAGCTGGGCCACATAGCTTAGCGCTACATTAGCCGACTAATCCCTCTTTCTTACTCCAGCAAGCCTAACCCCATGTTTCCAGGGTGCATCTGACACAGATAACTGCTGGATTACAGAAGCCAACCAGGGCATGTGAAAACTCGGTGAAAGATAACCTTTGACACACAAGCAGCAAACCCCACAGGAACACACAGAAACAACAAGTGAAATAGAAACTTACCGAGGTGTAGTTGGTCTTGCCCATGATGTGGTTCTGGTTGTGGTTGAGGTTCTGGTTCTCCTGCTCTCTGCACTGCAGCCCAGCCAGGTGCCTCTCAAGGGCTGCCCAGTCCATGGTGGGCAAAGGCTCCTCCTCTAAAACCTTGTCCTCTTTGTATCCCCCCATCCGTCCCCCAGTCCCTCCACTGCTTCCTCCTCCACTACCACCACCCCCGGCAGTGCTGCGGCTCCCCCTGCCTTTGCTGGAGCTGCGGTGGCGGGGTTTAGGAGTCCCTGTGCCGCTCCGTGGTGTACCGGGGGAGCTGAGCTGGTGGCTCCTGGGCAAAATCAGATTGCCGTTCTGTTTCAGTTCCTCTGGGACGGCTGCGACCGAGGTGGCAGTGTGTCCGCCGGAAGCCGGGGGGGGCGGGACAGTCTTCACATCCTCCAATTCTTCAGCGAGGCTGCGACTGTTCACTGTCTTCCTGTAGCCCTCACCAAGAATGTCCTCCCCAACAACGCCTCCTCCAACTTCCTCCTGACCAGGAGGCTTTGGAGAGGTGTAGCCCTCTCCATACTCACTCTCCCACTCCTCTATCACCTTCTTCTTATACTCTTGGTAGTCCTCGTCCTCCTCGTAGTCCTCTAAGGTGACAAGGTCCAGAGAGGGGGAGGATTTGTAGTCCTCCAAAGTGGCCAGGTCAAGAGAAGGAGAGCAAGGTGTTACCTTGTTGGAGTTGGACTCTGAGCTGGAGCGACTGGATGCATCACTCCCCAGGTCCATGCCATCCTCCCGATAATCCTGCAACGAGAAGGGAACAGAAAAAAATAATGAAACTAAAGAACAAGCATGTGCAAGGACAGGAGTTTACAAATTGAGAAAAAATAAAAGATAGGGGAGGAGGGAGAAGAAGAGGAAAATTAAAAGAGAATTTAAGGAAGTGTGTAGACTTAGATTAGTCACACCAATGTTGTGGTTGGAGACCAGCAACCACAAAGCACTTCCTGTCCCGCAGGAACTTCCTTTCTGCTCAGAATGATGTAGTCGTCCCTCTAAGACTTGTTTTCTGGTCTTCTGTTATACAACTGTACTGCACAAAAGCTTCCCTTAAAGACAAGGCTTACTCATTATATTTTTCTCTGGTAAATGTGTACATGTGTGTGTTTGTGGGCTTATGCAACACTTTACAAACAAAGAAAATGCGTAGTGCGTGTGGCTGGATATGTTAGAATAATATCCCACCACCCACTGCTACATCTGTACAGCACCACAGGGAGAAAAAACAGGGTGGTTAGAGTGAGAGTGAGTGACACTGACATGTCAATACTCAACACACCAAAATGTGACATGCACAGATGCGACCAGGGTTCCTGATAACCTTGACTGTGTTGCTCCTGCAGAGACCCAATCACTGCCTGACTGATTAGTTCACAGCTAATGAAAACGTCTGTGTTGTTTACAACCCACCACAAATCTCCACCTGACCTGAGTCATCATTCTTTTCCTACACAGGAGTGACATTTTCGTCTCACACCTCTTTTAAAAGTTAATGAAAAGCTACATTTCTCTAAAGGCCAAGAGAAATTAACGACACGTTCCTAGGTGATCGACATTATGAGCTGCTTTGGAAAATAAATTAATTATGAAGATTGCTAATTACTGGTGTAGACCATCAAGATTTACTGTCATTTTAAACAAGACCTTCGTGGATGAAATTGCCAAACTGTAATACAGTATTATCCAAATTATAAAAAGCTTTCTTGAGGTATGGCTACGTACTTAACCACACCTGCTCAGGCACTGGCTGTTGACGTCAAAGCACAATGCAGAAAATATCTGTGTTAGGCAAAGCAATATGACTAAGCATCTTGGAGTCCAGATACACAAATTGCTGATGGGATTTAGAGACATAAGCCACTCTATGATGAGGGGCTTGCATTTATCCATGAAATGCTAGTGTGTCAAAGAGAATAGAAGTGAAGCTGCAGCAGAGATAAAGATGGTACCAGCTGCTCATATTGGGCCATAAAGCCACATTTCACCTTGGCAAGGTGTTATTGGATACTTTAAACTATATCTTAATGTTATGGAATAGGCTACTTGGCCTTGGTAACATATTGCATTGCCACTAGGGAGCTGGGACCTCCAGTGTGTTCATAGGGAGAGTTAAATTGTAGTATTATTAAATCACTCAAGAATTAGGCAATGCCAAAATGTATGACAACCGTTTTGCTTGTTACTCCAAAGTCTATAACACGTTTAATCCAATAATCGGTTCAAAGGGATCATTACCAACAATATGTGGGTTCTTGACATGGAAAACTCCAGGAGCCCCCGTTGGTTTTACAACTGAAGAGGGAGGATTTAAGGGCACACAACAGTACTGGCCTACTTATGGCCTGATTCTCTGAAATCGCTTAGACCTGTTATTGTACAGCAATACGTACCTATTCACGATTATACAAATAACAAAAAAACATAATGTTTAGCCTTCAAAATGTAGCAGAGTCTGAAGAATATATCAATGTTGCCTAGCAGTAGAGCGGAGAACAACCTTACCGACGTGCTCATCAAACGCGCTGGATCACCACACGGTCACCAGTCCCCGTGGTGTGTGAGCCAGCCTGTCATCCTGGCTTTCTCACCGGCTCTAAGTGCTATAAAACCCCGGTTACAGGCACCGGGAGGAGTTTTTCTCTCCAAAGTATAAGAACGCTGAATGAAAGCAGCGTAGTATCCGAGCTGCGTTCCCGTTTCAAATCTCGGTCAGCGATCCTTCTTCTTTAACTGTTATCCCGATCTGTGCAGCCTCCAAAACAAGCGCTTGTTTTCCAGATATGATCGCGTCAATACATGATGGTCACATGAGCCCGATTATAATAATGTAATCATTTAAAGTGTGTGCGTATGAGAGAGAGGAATGCGCTGCAAGGCGGCAGGCTGGAGCGGTAAAGCTGATCCGCTGCGGGATTAACGCGCAGCCAGGCGGACCATACAGGCTGGATTTGGCCACGAAATACATGCAAATTGACAGCTGCACAGATCCCCACCCCGCAGCCGGGCGGGTGTCTGGGGGGCGTTTAATATATGTCAAAGACTACCCTCACAACTCTTCCCGTTGTTCTCTAGGTAGCTTGCAAGGGGGCATCATAGCATACGCCCAGTCTTTGCGTGCGTCGAGCGTAGACTGGCCACGCCAAGTGGCATTTCTACACGGATGACAGTTGCATGATTTCATCTGTCAACATAGGCTATCATGTCATTAAGTGTTGACATTTGATTTTTAGTACAAACTATACAAATGTGGATAATACGCGTGAGTTTCCAAAATGTGGTCATTCATAGGCTACTTAAATGATGTAATGCTCCCAAAAAGTCCCAGGAGGCACCTGATATCCCCCCGGCAACAGCGGTGACAGAAACGCCTTAAAGCACACTATCACACGGAGACTGACACCCAATACAGCCTTGACCCCCTTAGATTCACTACAGCATGTTACCAGACACAATTAAAGTCACCGCCTGCATTAACCTTACCGGGGCTACGACCTAAAATATACGATACTCACTGTCATCATCTTTGTAGCTTCCCCGTCGCGTCTCAAGACATTGTAAAGTGTAAATCCCAGCTGTTAGACAACGGCGACGCTGCTGACTTGTTTCACAGCAGCTTTATTTTAAGGGCGGGTGGCGGTGAGGCTGGCTTCGCTGGAGAAATTACAGAGAGCCGGTGGACAATTCAGTACAGTCATCGCTCTGAGTGTGTAGCCTAGTCCGTGCACAGAGGAGACAACCGAGGAGTCCTGCCTGATTGGACAAAATAACGTAGATGTCTTTAAATCCCAGCAGGTCAACGCATCTCCTCTCCTCACATCCAGCGATGTCAAACCAGCAGTCCAGTCCGCACTCTCCTGCTCCCACGTCAGCTGGAAAATGAATAAGCTGCAAGTAAAGTGCGTCCCCTTATATTGTGGGCACGTTTCAAGACGCCTTTATCGCTCAGTTATTACCTAGAAACTTAAAACTAAGCGCACAAGAAGCATGCTGCTGCTCCCCGGCTGGCACAGGCTCTCACTATAACCGTGGCTCTCTGTCGCAGCCTGCAGCTCTGAGGAGAAAGTGACGACGACAGAACACAACTAAAGCCCAACCTTCTGCACCCACTGACCTTGCAAATTACAGCCAGAGAGAGAGAGAGAGAGAGAGAGAGAAAGGGAGAGAGGGTGAGAGAAAAGAGAGCACTAACTATACAGGTGAATGATTAAATATACATCTGGTGTTCGGATTTTAGAATATTTCTAGACCTGGTTTCCATAAAACCTCAGGGACCCCTGTTCTTATATCTGCTATTTGTCTTCACATCATATTACAAAGGCTGTCATTGTGTTCTTAATTAGAGTTTAGTAGTACACTTTATTAAAATTCATAATGGTTTTCGATGCAACAGCCCTGCAATGAATCCAGTCTGTGTGAAGGTTATAATGTTCAGATCTTGTCATTAATACTTAAAGATGTGTAGCACCCACTGAAGGTGGCCACAAAAAGCACATTTAAAGGTTAGCACAATAAAGACACATGGTTATATTAAAAACATAACTTCTTGTTCTACAAAAATATAACGTTTTTCCAGACAATAAGCACAAAGAGCAAGTTGATAAAAATACACCCACACATCAAATATCACGTATGCTTGCAGATTTGAATTAGATTACCAGAGCAGTAGGAATGCACAGTGCAAGAAAAGCTCACTATCTCTACAACAATCTATACACCATTAAAGGTTAGTCTCAACAATACTGACATTCTGCCTTCCTAGCCAATATAGAGTTTTCTAATTATGTTTGGCAGCATTTTAGACTTCTCTAACTCAACCCAGTACAACAACGCCACAAACTTCTGCTTAGAAAAATGTTATCAGCCCATATCTGCACTTTGACAAAAAAGGAGAGGACATTATAAGCTTCACAAAGAATCAATAAGCCAGTCAGCTAAAAATGAATCAGTTAATGATGATTCATTGATCTTTTCAGCTATTTTTCAAGAAAAATGCCAAAAGAATTACTGGCTCCAACTGCTCAAATTGGAAGTTGTGCTGCTTTTCTTTGTCGTAATCGAAAAAGAAATGCAACCATATAAAGACCTCACTTATGGCCCTATTGAAGTTTAAGAAGAAGTTCAAGCTCAAAGATTATTCCAATAATGAAGGAAAATAAAACAGACTGATTGCTAATATATTGTTAATATATGAAAAATGCATTATTATTATTATGACTCTACTAGTATCATTTTTAGCTTTTGCTGGATGTAAACACTGTTGTAGACATATGAGCTCACACACACACACACACACACACACACACACACACACACACACACACACACACACACACACACACACACACACACACACACACACACACACACACACACACACACACACACACACACACACACACACCACACACACACACACACACACACACACACACACACACACACACACACACACACACACACACACACACACACACACACACACACACACCACACACGACAGCTGCAGTGTTAGAGCTGAAGAGGGGTTAACACCAACATGGCATGATATCTTCATGTTGCATTCCGTTTCCTCTTACAGCAGCTGGTAATTTACATATTTTCCGGCACCAAGATCAAGTTAAATGTTAGTGATAAACTAATCTCATCAACAGCAGGAGTAAAACATACTCCAAAGCATTTGTTTAACAAGAGTTATGATTAAGAACTAGATCTGTCTCTCTCGAGTGGTAAGCCAAACATTTGGC